CGCGATGGGCGGAGTCGCTCCGCCTCAAATAGGCGGCGCGACCCCGCCCATCGCGCCAAACGACATACCCGGTGAAATTCCACTGATCGACTATTACATCATTCACTTTCAATACTAATTCAACCTCACTAATTAAATAATAATAATGGAATCAAAACTGAATGAAGAGTGTATACAAAAAATTGCTGAACTGTTCGCACAAATGGAGCTTATTTCACTTCAACTGTTCCACTAAACAACAACGGTCAAGGACCGTCTACGCATCTCAGTGGACAACAGGGTGTTGCTCAACGCCCATTTTTATTCCCCTCATGTCCCCAGTCTTATACATCATAGCATTTACTTTCCGTCTGGTGCTGAGTCGTCGAGCGCTTCGTCCGATTTCCGTTTAGGCAAGCCAGGCGGCAAAAGCGGCATAACTGTGCGCGCACCTAAAACACTGCTAGCTGCAATAGTGTAAGATAGCGTCCATAGTTGGTGGTTTGGTGGCTCCCGTACTGCTATACTCGATATCGATAGCTGCGCGGCTCAAGCAAGAATAAATTTACGTTCAATGCTTTTGACTGTGGAATAATGAAAATCCTAGCTCGTCACCTCCGCGATCAATATTGGTCTAATAATTATGTAGCCATAGTTTAATCGACCAAAACACTTATCGGTGAAACACTTTGGTACTGTTCAGTGACAAATCAAAAACGTTCTGATTTCGCGATGTCTCACTGGCAGTTCTCCTAGCACGCGATACGCAATGATAGACTATGGGGAATGTATAATGAACGGGAACAACGTGCCCTTTATTAGATTGACTGCAAAAGCCGCATGGACTATGTCACCTAGAAGAGTACTTTCGATGAAGTGTGGGTTGGAGAGTCTCACTGACGGTTTAGAACGCAACCATCGCCAGCCGTTTGTCGCCGACAGCCAGTTGCACATCGCGAATCACGAAGGACCGCCACTCCCAATGTCTTTGCGTCTCTATCTAATGCTTGGAGGGGAATCACATTTCCAATAGTAAAAGATTCTAAAATACTGCGCAAAAAACTAAGGCCCTGTTAATAACCTGTGCTGAAGTGGTAAATAAAGATGCGATCGGAACCTATTCAGAAAGTGTGCCAGAGGAAGAAGGCATGTTAGTGACCTTGAATGAAGCAATCGGTAGGCCCAAATACTTATTCGCAGGGTCTACGCGCAGAACACATTACAGTCGAATTACCGAAGCACCGAATCTTTTAGACCACAGACTTTGAACATGGCTAAGGAGAGTGCCCAAATAAAGTAAGCCCTGCAATCTCGATTAGGCTCTGGGCAACAAGTAGTGAGCAGAGCCAACATTTGGCTTCTGGACACTTTTCGATGCTCATTCATCCATTAGTGTCCAACAGCCCGATGTTGTAGTGTGTTACACGGAGCGCCCACTACCCACTCCCCAACTGTGGACGCTGCCTACGTGCATATTATCGAAACGAACGACAGTCAACGAACTCACATCTCTACACAACGGCTATCACCGATCAATACACTGAAAATGCTGACGTATACAATGAGGCTGATAACCGTCAAAGACATGACAAGGGCCACTTCCACTTATTGCAGAATATCAAGTTTTTTCAGGAAAGTATGAAGTGGCTCTGTGGAAATGTGGAAGTATTCCTTTGAAATGACTGTATTGATAGGACGAGTTTCAAGGACGAGAGTTGTACATTTCCTTCAATGACATGCGCGCCGGTGTCACGGAAATTACAATCATTCAATTATGTTTGTCGCACCATGGGAAAACAAGACGCTTCCATCCTTTCCCAGTGTTTGCTACAAACATATGTTGTCTCCCTCCCTTCTGAACTCGGCACAGAGCATGGGTTTTTGCATGTCTCTGTCAACCTTACTACAGTCAACTGGTCACTAGCTCACCAAAAAGGATTGCTTACTGTTTCACCTTTGCACGACCACCCACATTTCTCACTTTTTGCATGCTCTAGAGCCAGTATGAAATGAAATCAATACCAATACAAAAGCCGGTTCTAAAATACAAAAAATGGGTTCCCCAGAACAACGAAACCCAAGCCACTTAGGTGCGACTGTAATTTTGACAGACTACGTCAGATCTGATATGATTCTGAAAAGAAAATGTTTGATACAGAATATTCGAGCCCACCGCTGCTGTCGATTGGGTTTTCAAACTCAACACCGGCAATGTATAGAAATAACAGGATCTGAATGGCCTCTAATAAGTCTGAACATCGTCCCACCAGTCTGCTCAGACTGCTTCATGGTTTGTTATGCTGATGGGCGAAACCTCACCCCATAACATTGTAACATTGCTGCCTTGTGGCATGAACCTCAGGTAAGATGTTCGATATCAAAGCATGATTGTTGCGTCATGCCGGAGTCATACCTGGCTCAGAGTGCTGTGTATCGCTTAAATTGAAAAACAGAGGACAAAATCAGAGTCCAGCTCGCAGAAGAGCCAGTGAACCGACAAATGGCTTCCCCATGACCATTGATCGAACACAAACTAGGATTCACTGTAATGGTGATAGTATCCCGATAATCGAAAGAGAAAAACTGGCAGTGCGACCTGAAACGAATCAAAGACAACTAGTCGTACCTGACTTGACACAACACCGCACTTTGTACTGACCACCACACGTGTGACTCATGCAGTAACTGTAGTACTGGCCGTGGCATCCCTGATAGTCATCCTAATTGACACATTACAAATTTAGGGGCAGCTTTACCACTCGCGAAGTATTTTCTAATACCTGTATGGTACATAACTAGTCCTTGATCTTAGCTTCACGACACCTTTTTCATAGATGCATATTTAAGGATTAGCTTCCTTCAAGGCAACCATAAGCGGTGCATCCCTCAAAGCGACCTTGCATAATCACGTACTCTTCACATGTCTTATTGCCCTAACCAATGCTGTGGGCCCCATGATGATATATGCAGCACAGGCCCATCTCACAAGAAACATTCACGACACACACCACTTTTGAGAGAACGACGTTATTTTTGTTTGGCCCTGTAAAAGCTTTGCATATGTAGAAACTCGTCCCATCAAGAAAACGAAAAAATATCGTACGGTCATTGTTAAACAACTATGAAAACTCTGTGAACACAGCGAGCGCTTGTCAATAAAGGTTCCTGTGATTCACAGCACTAATCGGTACGGCAAGCAAGATAACGAGTCGACGAAATGAAGCGCAACATACGCACTGCTGCATGGCAGCCCAAATGACTAACAAATAAAAAGGCACATTTTATTTACAAGAGAGTCAAACAATTTACACTTATCTTCGCACATAGAAAAAAGAAACATTTCATACAACAATAAAGTGAAGAAAAGAACGTCCAGAATACTTACAAAAAACCGACTATAAGTCATGAATCATGTATTTTTTAGCAAAGATCAATATGACTTTCAGAATCAAAAGAAAAATTGGAACGTTAAAGTTGTGATATAGACAAAACCCGTCAACAATGGAAAAGATTAGGGCTCCTAAGGTTTCTTTACAACTTTTTTTATCAGCAGCATACGTTGCTTGTGCGCCTCAGTTGGCTGCGGGGTGATCCGATCGGGACGAATCGACGCTGGTGCGCCGAAGACGTGAACTGATGCTCGTGGCACTGATGGCATCTTGTATACAGCGTCGAGAACAAACTCTACATCACGTGCCTCTATTCGATGCGTTCCGCGATGCTTCACCATCCTACACACATGGTTCACCAAAACGTCAACATATTCATCAATGTAGTCGCATAACATATCCTGTAAATACCTAGCATTGAATGAAATTCAAAAAATATTGCAGTGAATTGTGATGATGATTCTATTAGTACGTTTGTTAGACAATTCTAACATAGCCCACATTCTGCTGCAAAAGCTACTGCCATCTAGAAATGACTCCTTAGTACTGAAAGTACCGGGATAATCGCTGCAAAACAACTTATGTTATTAACTTCAGCCTACAGTAACCATGCCTACCGATTTTTACGAACTCATACATTTTAATAGACTTGCGAAAGGGATAGATGAATCAATGAAACAAAAGTTGGATTTGCATTTGAACCCATCGCTAGCTTGAAATGTTAGTAGGTGAAATTAAAATGAAGAGCTCCTTCCATGAGGCGGATCAACACTCAATACCCTTACTATTCGCCTTTTCTTTCTGCTACAGTAATCTACAGCTAGGGTCCTGTTGATTCCTTAAAAAGACGAAAATGGAGCCCAGTTCAGTTATCGTCCGAACCATAAGTTGTTTTGAAGAGAGGAGGTGTAATAATATAACCTTTCATCGTATGAAATCGCTTGTTGCGGTTTACGACCCATCATCACGACCCCGATACCATCAAACAAATCTTTTTTTTACCTCAAAAGAAATCTCGTGATCATCCTGTTCTAAAACGAGCTTTGTGTACTCACAGTGTGTGACTTTTACATGGGCCGTTTAGTTTTTTCTCATCTTTTTTTCTTTTCGGTAAATCCTTTTACGAGGAAGCAACTACGATCTTCAGTTTCTACTTCATTGGCTGGACCTTCCTTTAAATACTTTTCATATAAATTTCCTTTTAGTCGACAGGAACTGACCAGAAAACCCTATTTTCAGGCCTACGCTTGGAAGTCTTTGAATGTAACAAAAAGAGACCATATTTCTTGGCTTGTCAGCCATTCTGACATTCTCCTTCATTCTTACGAACTAAATTACCAACACAGTGAGTGATACACAGAAGAACACTTCTACTGTTTTGGATATTATCATGTTATTATCCTGTATGATAACCTAACTAAAAAGTGGGTGTAGACATCCAATGGAACGTGTTAGCATTCATTCTTTTCATGAATAACAGAAGTGAACATTTGAGAAAATGTGCGTGTAGCACTTCAAGAGGGAGTATGAAACTCCTGATTTTCAATGATGTGACTGATTCATCTACCTAAACACCTGAACAACAAACTATCTGGGAAGAAAAGAAAGCATAATAACAAATTATCCATTTTTACCTCCTATTGATAACAGTTTATAATTTGAAAACTTTGTAAAGTAGCGGAACAATCAGCGGCTCACCTTGACGACGTCGTCCAACACCGTATGGCCACTAATTTGTCTCGTCAGTTCGTCGATACGCACTCGATCCATTACGGAACCCGTGGAACTAGGCGGTGCAAGCATTTGCTGAACATTTGCTCCAGGAGGAGGCGGTTGACCACCCGGCAAGGGCGGAATCTGAGTGCGTGCCGGTTGTAGTGGCGGTTGTCGTGGTCCCATGATCGGAGATGACGACACATGAATTTGTTGCGATTGGGGTGGGGGACCAGTATGAACGATTTGCATCGTCGTTTGTGGGGCACTGCTTACTCGCATCATTTGTTGGGGAACAGGGCGCTGCGTGATTTGATGAACGATCCGTTGTTGAGGGGGGCCATTCGATGGTTGTTGGTAAACTTGCTGAACAGTCCGAATTTGTTGCGGAGCTGGCTGACCTCCTTGAGGATATGGAACTATTGAAGGACCTCGTCCTTGCTGCAGCTGCACACGGATGGGACCTCCTCCTCCTTGCTGCATCTGCTGCTGCTGCGGGGGACCACCTCCACCTCTCGAACTCAACGCAGCAATCAAATGCGACGGAGCTCCGCCTTGGTTTTGATTCGGTACTTGCTGCCCATCGGACATCGCCCTGAATTTATGAGTTGTAAGAGTAAGTAACTGAATAAAATACGGCAAACATGCAACACAGACAGTGCGGGCCGTAGAAGGATGGGCAGGGCCCTTATGTGAGTTGTGGAGAAAAATATTATAGAAGTTATCAAAATGGAATACACTCACAAACACAAACATATCCTGTTTGCTGCTTTATTTAATTCCGCGCAATTTTCAGTTGAAGCTTTCTTTAATTCGAAGATCAATATTCTACAATTTGGCGATTCCCTTAACCTCTGGTGATTGATTTCCCCGTGAAGGACAACGCAGCAACCCCAAAACACATCTCAGAGCTTTTGCATTTGTTGTTCTCCAACTGCACAAATGATTTACATTCAATAAATTGGTTCTCTACTGTGCTCTACTCTTTCACTTTGTGAAGTAATCGGTGAAATTTGTAGGTTTCACACACACTGACAACGAATCTAAGTCGAGCTGCTCTTAGAAACATAACGCAAGAAACTAATTCAAACCCACTAACAGTTCAGAACGCCTACCCATGTGAAAAATGGTAGTTCTTAAGTTTCTTATAGAACCTTTCCTATTTATCCGTGTTCAAAATAAAAAGGTCGACTCCTAACACCTACCCCACATTCAAATTTCACCTCACGGCGCAGCTTGAGCTCCGACTGTGTTCATGATACCCACAAAGTAAAAGCCATAATAGTGGGAAAAGACCTGCCCCATAACGCAAACTCAAAAGTTGGAAGATAACGCCAATTTTGAAAATGGAGGATTCTGCTGTTAAAACCAGTTTAAGTGAAGAACATCGGAGAAAGGTCTAGCTATAACCGATAAACCTCTACCTCTGTTGAACTCTCTTTCTTTGAGTTCGAGTGAAACGATAAACACTAATCACCTCACCCCGTTGTATCCGTGGTTACCAAGAAATGCCCACTCCCCATCACACACAATTCGCTGCCAACAACAATACGAACCATAACCAAGCATTGATCCCGTTGAATTGATTCTCCCTTCACCACGACAGAACGGGATGAGCCTTTTTTTGCGGATAACTGTTTTCAGCGATTCTATTTTTTTACTTCTTATCCATAGGCCCAAGACCACAAATCTTTGCATCGCTGGCACCGCACCTTTATAGTCAGTGACATCAGTAGGCATCAGTGAAATACTGTGACAAAACACGATAAAAGTAGAAAGCATGTGAAATAACAAATCATTTATGTAACAATTATAACAAAATCATCAATAAGCCGGTGCGACCTCGACGGATTGCATCGGCGGAGGAACAACGAGCCCCATATCCTTTTTCTCAACCTTGTGCTCAGAACTAGGTTCAGTGGGTATGTTCTCTGGCACAGGCTCGAGAATCTGGACTTGATCGGGTAGAGCGTTCTTAGGTCCCATCTGGCCGCGAGGATCGTGAGGCAGCATGATCTTGACCTTGATTCCGATGACTCCTGCAATGTATCACTTATAGTAAGCTCTATGCAGAATGCAGAAAGCAGCATCGATGAATAGCATAAGTTTGTAGTTTGGTTAAGTAGAGAGTTGGGGAAGAGGGCAGCATCGTATGAAGAACCCTCAAGGTGGAAAAAAAGGGTGGGGCGATGTTCCAAAAAAGGGGCTCGAACTGGCGCAAACTTCGGAACACCTTTTGAGGGATTCCACATCCCTAATAGAAGCAGTAACATTCGGCGAACACGAGACTTTCATCCAAATGACTTTACCTCATCGAGTTGGGGATGAGCGACTTTCAAGACAGCACCCATTCCCGCCCAGAGCGGGTATGCATCCCCTGAAACAAGAGCAGAGTAGCGCAGCACAGTGCAACGCTATAACCGCGTAGCATGGTTTTCGCCTTCGTGCAAAAATTATTGTCATGCTGTAGAATCAACGCCACGTCATCGCTGCGAACTTCCCTTCAAGATATCGTGTGCAGAACGCGGTAAGCGGTGGATGGTGATGGCACCTTGAGCAATTATTTCGAATGGCCCAGCTTTCAAACTTTTTTTTCTGAGAACCAGGCGAATACTCCCACTCTCCTCCCACAAGCCACGCTAGCCTAAGACCGTTAGCATCAAAGCACATCATGGCCCAACGGAGTAGCGCCCTACCAACACACCTTCATATCTTCTACATTATAAATACTGAGTAATCATAAACATTTACTGTTATTACCTTGGCGGAGCTGAACGTGTCGAACGGCTTGCTGGATGTAATCATTAACAGGATGTCCAGAATGAATCATGAGACCGTCGACGAATTTCATCGCCTTGGCACGCTGACCGCGAAGCTTTCCAGAAACGATAACCTGAACAACTTCTATAAATCGAAACCAGGAAAAAACACTTGAAGGTGACTGGTGTGCATGTAAGTGAATCATGAAACCGGCACAACTAGAAAAATTGCCCGGCGATTAAAACACTAGTTATTATTGCCAACAGAGTATTAGGTCCAATTGCCAATTCAAAATGGTTGGCCTTGCCCAGATTCTGTGGCGTGTGAATAAAAAACTATGTATAAAACTGTTCCAAGTTTACTGACACAACAAATAAAATGCACTGAAATTACTCGCCTCACAGCCTTGAGCTTGTGACTCCATAATAAAACGAAGGACACCGTAACAGGCACGACGGACAGCCAGGCCTCCGACGAGTTTGTATCGAAGAGATTCGCACTGTGCAACGGCACAAAGACCTCTGTTAGAAACCTTCTCGGCATAAAGCTGAAACATGAAAAGAATAACTTTTTCGTTATTGCTTCGATTTGTTCTTTGGAAGGAAAAGTTTACAGCAAGTGGAACCCAAAATCTCAAACATAATGCAAATGACTCAACAACGGCTACATTATTGCTTCGACACGGCCCCCAAGCACGAAAATTTTACTTCACCTACGGTGCACAATGTAAGGTGATTTTGCAAAGCGCCGTATGTTTTTTGAGTTTTAATGATTCTTTTGCAAGAGCACAGTAGAAAGGGAACTCAAAAGTTGTGGTCCTATCGTCGCTACGGGCCGCAGCATGAAGTAAGTACAAGCACGAGCGTAGAGTGAACGGAACAAAAAGCAAAGGAAGCTTGCCTGTGGCTATTATCGCATTTGGGTTCTTGCAAATTAATTAGGCATGATCACTGAAACTTCTCAAGTGAATTGTGATAGTGCAGCGAGTTTTCTTGATCGTCGAAAATCGTTTGCAAGATACCCAATACATGGTCAGCTTTTAAACAACGTAACAGGAATATCATATATTTTCTCGAAAAAAGGTGCCGATTGTTTTTTGTAAGGCGCACAATAGCATGCACGAAATTGATTTTGCAGATCAGTCCTTTTGAACCTAACAAATCTTTTTCGTCATTTTCTCAATCTTCGTGAGATTCCGAACAATAATAAATCCTCAGTTCAGAAAGATCTGTTCACAAGATTGTAGGGATCAAAAATAAAAAAAAAATCAGACGGCAAATAAAATCCGAATGCAGATGACAAATCTGAGTAACATGGGAGTCAATTTTGCTTGTATACATCATAGAATCAGATGAATCATGAAAATATGATCCATCTTACGATATGAAGAGTTATTCCAATGAAAAACAAAAAAAAA